GTAGATTATTGCTTATTTTTTCATCCAAAAAATATAAAGTGATTGAAACTACTGCTATTTGAAAAACATCAGAAAATAACTTGAGTCTGGCTGGTGTAGCTCAGCAGTTGAGTGTTGATACAGGAACCAAGAGGTCACCAGTTTGATTCCTAGTCTGGGCACATGCCTGAGTTGTGGGCTTGATCCCCTGTGAGGGGCGTGCAGGAGGCAGTTGATTGATGATGTTTCTCTCTCATCGATGTTTCAATCTCTCTATCTCTCTAAAAAAAATCAATAAAAACATTTAAAAAAGAAAATAACATGAATCATGTATAAAATTGTAATGTAAATTAACATTTATTTCATTTACAGAAAGTTAATATATTAGCCCCACACACACTTTTTTGAGCACCCTATCAGTTGCACAGAATGTCTGCTCGCTCACTGCCAGAGACGTTCCTGCCCCGCCCCCTGTCATTAAGGGAGAAGCTTTTTTGCTTCTTTGATTTCATGTCAGAGCATGACACAAGATTTGTAGCAGCAGAACTCTGGAAACTCAGACTCAACCACGAGACAGACTGAATTCAGAATTCTCTCCTTCCTTTCTTCTTGCCCTCTGCTGGAAGTTTTCTTTGGAGCTAGAGCAGGAGACAAAGGGAGGCCATGGTCCAGCCGGCCACAACTTCCTACCGTAACCAAAAAGCACACCAACCACAACAGAAAGGATCAGTTGGAGTGAATTTGGACTTTGGTTGCTATTGCAAAACTTCATTAACAATTTTCTATAGTAATGTTTTATTTAAAAATAGTTACAGTTTGTGTGAATTAATTCTAATTCATATTCAGTATACTTCACACATTCCTTCTTTTCTAAATTTCAGTGAATTTTTGAGTTTCACTGTTTTGTTTCAACTATTCCCCTAAATTATCTTGACTATAAAAATAAGAGAATAATGGGTTTTTATCCCCAGGTTTATTAACATTATAAAAATAATTTACATTTCATATAGAATAATTATAAAATAGAAATAACATGAAAATCTATTACTTATTTCTAGTATTAATTATTATTACTTTATGATATTTTTCTAGATTTTTATATATGGATACACATTCATATTTTATTTGTCATCATATTTAAAACTGTTTTACAATCTGCTTTTTTATTTAATATGCCCTGAATATCTTTTTATGTTAATATCCTATATAATAAAAGGCTAATAAGCAAAGCGACCAAACAGCAGAATGACTGGTTGCTGTGAGGTGCACTCACCACCAGGGGGCAGATGCTCAACACAGGAGCTGCCCCCTGGTGGTCAGTGTGCTCCCATAGGGGGAACACCATTCAGCCAGATGCCAGGCTTATGGCTGGCAATCCAGCAGCGTTAGCGGGAGCCTCTCCCACCTCTGTGGCAACGCTAAGGATGCCCAACTGCTGGCTTAGGGGGAGCGGGCCTAAGCCATCAGTCTGACATCCCCTGAGGGTTCCTGGACTGTGAGAAGGCTCAGGCCAGGCTGAAGGACTGGGCGTGTTGCCCCCCCCCCCTCCGCCGCCCAGTGCACAAATTTTGTGCACCGGGCCTCTAGTAAATATATAAGCACATTTAAAAATGAATGCATATGCTTCATATGTCTCACTCTACTGCTTTTTACTCAATCATTGCCGAGTTTTTAGTTCATTTCTGGCTGTTATAAATAACTTTACATACATCTTTACTCACATGTCTAATCATTTCTTAGCATAAATTTCTAAGCATGGACTTACTGGTTTCATTTTTAAAGCTTTTGAGCCATTAATGCTAAAGGATCCTCTAGGAACATAGTGGGAATAATACTGGGTAGTTTAAGGAGGCCTTGTTTCCTGCACACACACACACACACAATGTCTGACCTTTTCATTTGATTCATCTTTGTCAGTTCTTTCCTTTCTTTCTCCTTCATCTGTCAATTCTAGGACCATTGCTATACTGTTTTGAGTGTTAATTTTATAAAATGTTTTACTGTCCAGCAGGGCCAATCCACACACACACATACACACAAATTGCTTAATTTAAAAAAAATATTCCTTGTTATTCTTACATATTTTCAAATGTATTTATTGTATTTTAGAAGTTCTAGAAATAATCCCTTTGAGAATTTCTTCGGACTCACATTAAAATCATATGTTGATTCAGAACACTTAAACTCTTCATGAGAATTTTGAGTCTTATTATCCAGGAATATATTACATCTTTCCATTAGTTAGTTCTCCTTTTAATACCTCAGTAAAGTATTTTTGTTTTTGTCATGTAGTTGGTACCTGCACATTTGTTTTTGGTCATTAACTGTTAGAGCTGTGGACTGTCCCTTGTTTATAATTATGATTGTTTCCCCTAAAGTTTAGCTTTTGGTATTTGTATTCTCATTTCAGAGTGCTCCATTATAGTTTGATTTCCTCTTTCACCCAACGATACCATTTCTTTAAAATTTCAGTTATTTTGTTTTGCTTAACCTTTATTACTAATTTCTTGCTTAATTTTGCTGTCACCTGAGAACAAGAAAGATTATTTTTGAGGTTCTTCTCTGTTTTATGACTATCATCTATGTGGAGTCAAAGTAGGAGATTTCTCTGGTTCCCTGGATAAGTCCTATTGTTTACAAATACTGAATTTTTCCATATTGCTAGTGGTGTTTTTCTTGTTAGCTCATATTTACTGAGAGGTCTATTTTCAGTATTTAGAGTTGAAGTTGCTGTGAATTTGTAATAGATTTTTCTGAGAACTTGTTCAAATCTTTTATGTTGGATGGTGGTGGGAGAAGGAAGTTTTTGTTATTGCCTGAATCGGAAAAAAATTGTCTTAGAAAAATGGCTGCCAAAGAACATGATCATTGATGCAGCAGGGAACTGCCTTATTTTTTTTTAAAGCCTGCTTTCTGCATTTACTAAGGAATTGGAGTGTGCACAGGTACTGTCCGCCTCCCATAACTGGCCCAACTGTCTTTGGTAGGTGCCTTTCTGTTGCCTGCTTTCCTTTTGAACTGTGTCATCAAGTGAAGGTGGGAGTGGCTACTCAGGTGTCAGCTACCAGTGCTGATCAAAGCCTGTGACCTGCATGGCATTTTCCCATGACTCCCCTCACCTCCAGCCCCCTCTGCCCAACCAACCACTTCCCAGGCAGCCTTTTTCTTGTAGTGAGTTGAATCATGGCCTTCACTGGGGTCTTATTTTTATCATTTTATAGAATTTTTAACTTAAAATATGGGGCATATTTAATTTTCCTAAAACACAAGTACAGATTGTTCACTTTTTAATCCTGCCTTGGTCATGTCTAGGTGGGAATTGGTGAGGACGGGAACTTGATGTAGTACTTCACCTCCACCACACCTTCGTCCTGACCAGCACTGTTCCTCCCAGCAGGTGGTCATGGGGCACTCCCTGGCCCCAGCCCAGTCACCCAACCTGATCCAGACCACAGATGGAAGAGAGACATTTCAGTCTTATCAGTTCCTCATGTTTAATTTATGAGTTTGTTTTCAGCTACCATCATCTTTAGTGGAGTGTGTACCAGGAGTATATTCACAGGTTTTTTTTCCTCGTTTCCTGAATTTCATTCCTGCCCTGTCACAAAATACCAAACACATTCAGTGACCTACCTCCTTGGGTCTTTGGGAAAGCTGAATCACACACAGAGAGGACCTAAGGGTCTAACAGGAAGCAGGGACGCATGGTTGGCGATTTCTTTCTTAGGACCTGGGCTGAGAGAGCCCGAGAGGGTTAGCAGGTTTTTAAGGGGATATCCTGTAACTGTCTAATGGAAAGACAGGACTCCATGTGTCCCGTAAAAGCCCCGCCTCCAGTCTCCACTGTGGACTGTGTGAGGACATCTTTCTTTTCCATGGATAGTAAAGAACTTCAGGCCCTTATGGCATTTTAAAGTGACCTTTCTCTGCTTATTCGTGAAGATGGACACATTTGATTATAGGATTTTCCCCCTTTATTTTGTATTTTTTTTTGACTATATGAGCCTAACTATTGAGAAAGACAGGTTAAAAAATATAAGTAAAATATGAATTTGCTCTCTTCTCCTATTACTCATTTCCCCTCCGTGTTTGGGGATGGGAAGGGACATAGAATATACTAAGGTAAAGTGAAATCTACTCTGATGATAGGAATTTTTTAAAATCCCGTATGTCATCAGCATTGACTTCTAAATGGTAGGTAAACATGTTTCAGGATTACATGTGTGAGGTTATTGTAAGTTATACATTGAATAGGTACATCTTGTATATATTAAGTTATATATTGTATAAGTGTCTTTTCTTAAAGTATTTAAATTGGATATATCAAGAAAAACTATTTTATCGTACCTTAATAATTCATGAATTATTAAACTACAGCCTTAGAGGTTTGGACCAGTTATATTTGGTAATAAAACTTATCTAGCAGATATTTTTTTAATACATTCTCCCCTTTACAATAAAGACCCTAGCTACTCTGAACTTTTAAAATAAGTTTAATCCTAAAGCAAATTTCTCTTATGACATGAATTACTGTCAAATGCCATTTAAAAATTATTTTTCTTGGGTTAAATGAAAAACAGACCACAGATGGGAGAGCAAACATGCTTCTAACTATTGTGGTTTAATCTGTAACTAATATTTTTACTTTCAGAGAGACGTTATGAGGTTTTGATTTCCCAATTTACCAAATAAATTAATTCTTGGGCAATCATTTGAAGAACATTTTGTGATACAGATCTTTTGACTAATGTGTAGTATTCTCCATCAGTTTGGTATGGTAGTGCCATCTTGTGGCTTGACTTTGTAGTAACTTCAACACTCATACATTTTAAACAGTGTCCTGGGTAAGATAAAATGTAGTGGGAATTCTTTCCAAAATGCATATGATATAGTACTATGAGTCTGAATAAAAATTGCCAAGAATAAGTTGTCATTTGGTCAATGGCCAGGCAAAAATAGTAAGGAGGGAACCTATGCATGCTTCTTGGTTTCTAAAATTCTCTTTTTATACTTGTCCCTAGTTATTGCTATTTGAACGGTCTTGGATGAGCAGATGGAAGTCTTCTGTTCTGCACGAAGGGGAAGGGAACATAAGGAGTGTGAAGTGGAGAGGCCATCTGATTGCTTGGGCCAATAATATGGTAAGAGCCTGTCACCACCTTCCCGATGCTTCTTCAGCGAGAAAGAGGGGCTGCCGTGAGAGGGCTGTAACCAGGAGGAAAGACGGCACTTGTTGCGGTGGTCACCGCTAACGGATACAAATGGCAATTCATGTCATACCTGGAAGGTTAAAGAAATTACATTGCTCTTGGCTTTCATAATAGAGGAACTCCCAACATATTCTGGACTCTATTTTAGAAGAAGAAACCTGAGGCATGGAGAATAGTCAAGTAAATGAAAAGGCATCTTAATAATTGAAGGGCTGCATTGGGAATGTGATCTTGAAAATATTTTTTGCCTAATAGCCAAGGGCAAGTAACAGTTGAGATGAAACAAGTGCACAATATTGCTGATTCCATTTTACTCCCAATATAATCACAAGAAAAATATAGGCTTGCCTTATAAAAAGTCAATCATGGTATTTGGTGCTACACTTACTTAAAAGTTTACTCAATATGAGTTAGAGCAAATAGAAAGTTTAAAATTATCTTTTTGACATCTGGCATATCGTTTTGAATTTCGAGGTATAACTTAGCAGATTAGTTCTATTCTATTCTCCCAGAATCTACCTTGCTATTCAGGACTTACTTTCCCTGGGTCACAGGAAAGGCAAGCAGACCTGTGGCCTCTTGGTTTATTTTCACTTAGCTGCTTGCTCGATGTTTCCATGTGAGTATTTTAAATGTCACGTGTAGTTTTCTGTACGTAGTAGATTTTTGATTTCACAGTGTTTCTGAAAAGCAAACTTCATTTTGTAGCGAGGGGAATGAATGTTACACAGTTAGAAATGTTACGTGGCTGTCATTTTGGAAAGGCAGTTGTCTGCACATCTCACATTTGTGTTGTATTTGAGCCGCCGGTGCCATCCACTAATAGTCGCCGTCGTGCAGAAAGAAGCACAGAGGCTTTCTCTTGTGTGGGGTTCCCACAGGTTTGTCTGGAGGAGGGGCATTTTCCTTCGCATGACTCCCACAGGGCTCCGTAGGCACCGCCAGTGTTCTGCAGAGCTGGTTGTCAGTGGTGTGGAGCAGTGTTTTCCGTTACTTTTCTTCTCCCCAGTAGAGCGTGTTAATGCTGTTTTATTTTCCAGGGTGTGAAGATATTTGACATCACCTCAAAGCAAAGAATCACTAATGTGCCCCGGGATGACATCAGTCTTCGCCCGGATATGTACCCCTGCAGCCTCTGCTGGAAGGACAGTGTGACACTGATTATCGGCTGGGGGACTTCTGTCAAGGTGGCTTTGCTTGTCTTAGAATAAGTCCGTGTTGTTATAGGTTCACTGAAGATGCTCCAAAGGAATATGAGTTATTGAATGCTTCTTGCAACTACAATACCTTCCCCTGAGTATTATCAGCATGTGATAATCATTTAATGCTCAATCCTTTCATATGCTTAAGTTTTAAGACAGAGCCTTTCTTTTCCATGCCATGAAAAACAAATTGTGGCCCAGCCGGTGTGGCTGAGTGGTTGAGCGTTGACCTATGAATCAGGAGGTCACGGTTCGATTCCTGGTCAGAGCACATGCCCGGGTTGCTGGCTCGATCCCCAATAGGGAGCATGCAAGAGGCAGCCGATCAATGATTCTCTCATACTTATGTAATGAAATGCTATGAAGACATTAAAGAATTGTGGAAGAATATTTAAATAATATATTCTTTGTAGTAAATTGTTAGTTTTATAAAATATTTTTTTAAAAGGTGGTTAATGGTGTTCACTTTGTGCTGAGACACCGAATAGTATTTGTATTTTTCCCTTTGGGTTTTCTGTATTTTAGAGTTTTCTGTGTTGTAGCTATACTTAGGGATAGCAACTATAAAAGAACACAAGAAATACTATCTAAAGACAAAGGAAAAAAACCTTATCCCCGATGAAAGTGGCAGTGATCAGTATTTCATTTTAGATTTTTTTCACCTCCATGGCTGAACTTGTGTAAATTTTTTGTGTCCTATTACAAAATAGAATATATTTACTTTAGAAACTATAGCAAAGAAAATATCTCTAGTCTTCCTACCCTAAAACAACCAGGTGTTGAGTGTTGTGTGTGTGAGTGATAGATAAATACTAGTGTGTGTGTGTGTGTGTGTGTGTGTGTGTGTGTGTATCCAAACTGTATACATATAATTTAAAATAGGGATTGGCAGACTTTCTGTAAAAGGCTAGCATTATGTATTATAGATTTTAAGCTACATTTTGTTCTGCTGAATATTTCATTCTCTCCCCTCCCCTCCCCTCCCCTCTCCTCCCTTCCCTTCCCTTTAAAAATGTCAAAACTATTTTTAGCTTACAGACCTGGGGGGCGGGGTGGGGGGGACGGGACAGGCCTGGGCCAGGCTATAGTTTACCTGATTTAAATTATATAACACATTGATTTTAATATACTCAAAAGAAGAAGAGTCTGTGCCACTGTTTTACTTAGCAACAGTAAAATAAATCGCCAGTATGTAATCAGAAACATAAGACCTAGTACAAACGTTGCCCAAATGAGCCGTTGGCCTGTTTTGGATATGTGCTTCTGCCAGAGCTTTATTGTCTGATGACAGAAGTAGCTCTTAAGTAGAATTGGGAAGAATGGGCCATTTGAAACGTTAAAACTATATAATAGTTTCCTTCCTTTCTTTGCCCTGGAATAAGACTTTATTGAAGAATAATGTTGAAGAATATAAGTAACAGTTGCTATATATCATGGAAATTAATTTTTGTCACTTAAGTCAGTGGGTAGATTGTGTGCACTCCATCTTCAGTACTACATGGTTAATTTAATGAAAGTATCATATAGTGAATGACATGTTATGAAGAGTTTTCCATCAAGTGAGTAAAATAACCTGTGAATTTATTCTCTAGATATGCTCGGTGAAGGAACGGCATGCCAGTGAAATGAGGGACTTGCCAAGCCGATATGTTGAAATAGGTATGCCTTCCTATGAAACCTCAGAGGAGACGCCGTTTTGCTAAGGGGAAACCTAAGACCATGTTCTTCTTCAGGTCTTATCGCTTGGGACCGTGATGGAACTGGTCAGGGAGCTTTTGTTTTAAGTTTTGAAACTTCATTCCAGAGACCCTCTTGTCTAACTATATTTCTAATTTTTACACAAGAACTTTGAGTTGGCTTTGAAGTTGAATAACTGGGCTCTGGTTCTGTCTACTGCCTGGATTTGGAACAAATTCTTACCCACCTCAATCTTCTTACCCGGAAATCGTGGAAAAGAATACCTGTCTCAATGTTGTTTGTGAGAATTCCGGAGTTAATATGTGCACAGCTCATAGCACAGTACTGACATCTGGTCCTGTCAACGTGTGTTTTCTGAATATTAATTTTCATCATTACTGGTCTGGTCCAAACTGCCATAATCTCTTTTCTGGATCACTGCAGCAGCCTCCTAACTGGTTTATCTCCGTCCCCTGTGAATCACTGTAATCTAGTCTCCCAGCGCAGTCAAATTACAAATCAGATCATGTCACCACCCTTCAGTCTCCTCCTGTTGTTCTTGGGATTAAAATGAGACTCTTGGACACGACCAGAGGGACCTGTGCCAGCCCTCACCTGCCTCTCTGGCAGCAGCCAGGCTTCTCCTTGGTCTCTGTGCTGCAGCTACACTGGCCTGCTTACGCCGACCATGCCCCTTCCTCCCCTCTGTCTAGAACGCTCCTCCTGCTTCTTTACTTCATTGACCTTGGATCATCCTTAATCACACCTCAGGTCAAGTATTGCTTTCCTGGGAAAGCCCCCTGGGCCTCCCCAACTAGGTCACATCCCCCCAGTATGGGCATGCGGAACTCTCCTCTTTTTAGCACTTGTTTCCGTTGCAGTGATCGTTGATTATTCATTGAGTATCTGTCTTTTCCACAAAACTATAGCTTCCTTCACAGACGCACTTGGCCTGTCTTTGAGCAGTGTCTGTACCTCAGGGACCTGGCACAGTGCCTGACACATAGGAGATGCCAAATGACACTGGGCCGAATGAATCAGTGACTCCGGGAAGTATGCCAACGGGGATATACCATTTACTTCTTCAACTTAGTTTTAAAACTTAGTGCCAAAGTTATTTAGATAGAAAGGATGAAAACTGACAGACTTTTGTCAATTAAACAGATACAGTAAACATGATTTTTGTATTATTTAGAACTGAGAGCAATAGGAGACATATTTGTGTGGCAGGAAAAGTTTTGCTGTCTTATAAGTTAGCTGAAAATTTCATTTACCTATTGGGTGATGAATGGGGAATATAAATTTGATGGGTCATTATAACAAAGTGAAGCTGAGATAAATCATTTGCAGTGACTATATTTCTAAAAACTGAAAGACTTAAATTACATGGCTAATATGGTTACGGCATTTAAATCTGGGATATTTTTTATTTGAAGTCAGATGTTGGTGGTAGGGTTTTTAATAACTTTTTGCCTTAGAAGGATAAATACATACAGAATAGATATATGCAGAATATAATGGTACTGAGAAAAACTGAGGAACAAGATAATATAGAAGACTGATAACACCAAGATAAAGATAATTATTTTATGATCTCTATCTTCTATCCTGCTGTTCTCTACCAGGAAAAAAAAAAAGAAAACCTTTGAACATCTGAGTACTTAATGTCCTGAGAGACACATATCAGAATATTTTAAATACAGATGAGTTAAAAAAAAAAAAAAAAGAAAAGAAGAAGAAGAAGAAGAAGACGACGACGACAAGAACTCTGGAAATTTTTGAAGATGTAAAAATTTTCAGGGAAGGATAAAAAAGTAGTCGATATCTCATTAGTTGGTGTTTATTGCTCACATAGTAGGTATGGGGCATTGTGCTATATGCCTTACCTGCTTTAGTTTACATCACTCCCACAGCTCCCCTTCTAAGGGCACATAGTATGTTTCTCATGCTATAGCTAAAGAAAAATGGGGCTTAGGGACATAAATAACTTGGCCAACGTCTTACTACCATGGTGTTAAAATGGATAGAATTTCTTGTTAAGGTTACTTCACCTTCCCAAGCCAGAAAAGCCTGGAGGTGATACCTACCTTTGAAGATGGTTATGAGAATTAGACATGATATACATAATGCCTGTCACACATACTTGGCAGATAATAGGTGCTCACTAAATCATGGTGGCTATTGCCACCATGCAAACTTCCACCCAGCTTTGTGATTACTAATAGCTGACCCAGTATTGGCCCTGGAGGCCTGGGATCACGTTATTAAACTGTAGTTCATCTGTACTACAACTGATGTGAAATGCAATGTGCTTGAGTACTAACAATATCATATTACTGACATTTTAGTACTATGGTTAGTGGTTAAGTACCATATTTTCCCCCCTTGAGAGGAAACCTTTAGTAATATAAGCCATTTCCACAACAGGAGGCAAAGTGGTTTAGATAAGAGTCCTCAACTAAGATAAAGGAAAAGAGAAATATTAGAAGGCCTGGATTACAATTTGCTTTAGCCCAAAACAACATGATTTACTGTTCTCTAGTAAATGAGGCAAAACCAACATTGTGATTAAAGAAGTTCTGTGACTATACATATCTTAGACGCCAGATGTTTATAACTCTAATAAGTCAGAATCTCAAAAACACAAAAAATTATTCCTCTCTGTGGGATATTAATTTTTTTGTGGCTGTTTCAAAGGGTAACATTTCTTTTTTTTTTTTTTTTTTATAACCAAGTACTATAAGAAAGCAAGAAAAGATTTGTAGAAGTACATGACTATTTTACTTCTTAATTTCACGTACTGTAATAATGCTAACTTGTTAAGTACTAAATCTTACAAATTGAGACTTTACAAATTGGGAATTACAATAATTTAGGCAGAGACTACATGAAGTGCGTAAATTATAAACAAAAAAAGATCCTGGTCAAGTCGGCAGCGTAGGTAAATGCAGTACTCACATCCTCCCACAACCACATCAAAATTACAACTAAATCACAGAAAAACCATCATTCAGAACCACCTGAAATCTGGCTGAATGGAAGTCTTACAACTAGAGAATTAAAGAAGAAAGCGCATTAACCAAAGTGATGGAAAGCAAGGATCTACAACCAAGATTACTCGACCCAGCAAAGTTATCATTTAGAATTGAAGGTCAGATAAAGAGCTTCACAGATTAAAAAAAAAAAAGCAGAAGAAGTAAACCAGTATTATTTATCACCAAACTAGTATTTTATTTACATTCTAATAAAAGTTATACCCAAAGAAATTTTATAGATAGGAAAAGGTATACCCATAGAAATTAAGATGATTTATCCAAGTTCAATTTAGTAGAAGTTAAAACTCAAATTTCCTGACTCTACATTAAATATAATTTACATTATACTATACTAACTTCCCGAGGTAAGAAAAGAGGGTACAGTTTAACCTCCATTTAACAGACTAATTTGGGCAAGGGGTTGCCTATTAAAGCCTAAAGTCTGTCATATAATAAGGTGTTTTTTCCGAATGTCTATGTTAAAAAATTGACAAATTAGTTACCTATTTTTACTTATGTGAACATGTTTATCTAATTAAAATTATTTATGAAAAATTTAATTTCACAGGAAAGTCTTCTATATGTATTACTGTAATTCTAAATTTATACTGAATAGGTCTAGTAAATGCCTGAATTCACCAGTCACTGCAAATAAACAAATGCACACGGCTGGGTCATGGCTTAGCACACATTGGCTGGAATGTCTTAAAACTACAACAAAAAGGCATGCCACCTGACAACAGAACCAATTATCTCTCTCAATATGATGTGATAGCTAATCATTAGCTAACATTGTGTACAAGTGGTGATTCTTGGATTTAAATATATAGACCCCTCACCATTTATTTCTTAAAGTGATGCGATAATTCTTCATTATAAAGACTGTCTTTAAAAAGGAGAAGGGAATTTATTTCCTCTGACCTTTGTTTCACATAAACAATAGTTTTATCATCATGTAATCTATATTTATACACCCTTTCCTCCTTTTAAATCTTTAAATAAAATGACTATTAAATGTTAAAAAAAAGAATTATAGTGTCCCAATTTCAAATGGCCTTCCTTGTGACCTTTATACACCTGTAATGCTCTAACTGAAAAACTCTAACTCAGACATTTTTAAGAAGTTATTATTTTTGTTAGTAGTTTATATTGGGTTTTCATGGGATTGAACTGTCATTTTTAAACTAGCCGGGCACAGTGTCACATTGGACCATTCATGTTGCTGTTATCAGGTTTGCTTTTTGTTTGTGATAGAAATTTTCAAGTGAGGTTTTCAGATGCCCTCTCCTGGGACTGACTGCTGTCAGGGGGGTATGCCCGTGGCCCTTTGTGTTACATTTCTAAAATGAGTGCATCCGAAATTCAGAGTCGATGCGTCCTTTCCTTTATGTGCTGCTTTTTGCTCCTGTTAATGATGAATCTTTTATCCCCTTTGTTTGCAGTGTCCCAGTTTGAAACCGAATTCTACATCAGTGGTCTTGCCCCTCTCTGTGATCAGCTTGTTGTGCTTTCCTACGTGAAGGAGGTTTCAGAAAAAACGGTAATTTATTTCACTTCAAATACAACGGGAAGAGTGGGTTCATTTTCAGCATTACACCTAGGTCAGGTTGTCCATGAAAGGGCTCTGCTATAGTCTGAGCAGAACTTCCTGACCTATAAAATAAGGTCAGCAGAGATTGCCCTGTAGACCTAACGCATTTGCCTTTCAGAAGCTCCACTCATTGCCTGCCTTTGTTCCTTTTGCTGAGCAAAGGGGAGTCCTTCTTTTCCATCTCTCTTGGTATTTCAGTCGAAAGGAATGAAGGATTCCTCTTTCTGAAAGGCGAAGAAACTAAGCTGACACTGTGCATTACCAGAAATGACAGCAGTGACGTTGATCTGCTGCAACAACAGGGCCCCTGTGGTCAGAGGGAATTACGGAAAGGGCAGTTCATTATTTCCTGTGGTCCAGACATATTTGTTTACTTCCCAGTGGCCTAGTGATTCTGAGCAGCCTGATTCTGGCTTTGAAATAGTCTGTTGCTAAGTCTCAGCTATCAGTGCAAGCGATGGTATGAAATGTATGGCTAAATAAGAAGCCGCGGAGAGTCTAGATTTTGTGATACATGACTCTGGAATGAAGCCCTTTGCATGGTCCCGGGGAGGGAGGGGCATGCACAGTCAGGCTCTCTTTGAAGCCTAGGCCAGCCCCATTTCCAGCTTGTCTTTATGTCCGAGTCCAGGGGTCCTGTCAGGAAGGGGGTAGGGGTGGCTTCAAGGCATAAACAAGGAGAGCTTGTTATAAAGGATTTTGTTTTGATCCTGTATATAAAAGAAATAGCAATTGATTGTCTAGTCCTTTACAGTAAGTAGGCTCTTCTTTTCTGTATCCTCTCCTTTCTTTTCCCCCTTTTCAAATGCCAAGGAATAAAATGGGGAGACAAACCCTGGGAGGCCCAGTTTTGAAGTGGTAGCTGCTCTCAAGCTTTTCTCTGTGCTAGCACTTGCATCAGGAAGCCATCGCTATGGTAACCTGAAGCTCTGGGTGCCCGTGTTGCTAGGCAATGGGAAGCTGTAGACTTAAGTGAACACTCAAACCTGCTAAAATCAATATGGCTGGCTTCTAGCTCTGTTGCAGGGCATCAGTTTTTTATTATTATTATTATTATTATTATTATTATTATTATTTTGAAAATAAAGTAAAGCAGTGGCTCCTGAGAGAGTAAATATGGTACTTTTTGATGAGGAATGTGGGGAGGATTGAGAATGTGATTGAAAGACATAAGGAAAGAGGTAGTAAAGTGAAAAAGGGAAAATCTAATAAACAAGTGACCAAGGAAAGAAAGAGAAGAAACCTTTGTTAATAAAAGAGAGCATTGGAAAGGAGTGAAAACCAAGAAAGGCCAACCACATAGAGCAAATTAGAAAATGAAACTTTTTTCAGAGAAAGAAGTGAGGGTCTTGCAGATGACTTAAGAATGTGTGTGCCATTATATTCATTTCATATAACACCAAAGTACCTAAATCCTTACACACAGAATAAACTGATAAAATTAAGACGAAAGGAATAAAGAAGCAGCTTGGAACCAACAGTGCCTCCCCACCTTTTTTTTCCATATCGAGAAGATCACTTACCTGCAGCATTAAAATTTGTTTTTATATCACTCAATATAGTATCCCCCAACATAGCTTTCTTTTTACCTATGTGCATATTTTTCCACACAATTGCAGTCATAGTTACACGCTATTCCTTACTGCCATATTTTGGGGGTCCTTATTCCATTCTCTCTCTATGTGGTCATGGAGTCTCCCATCATTATCTCTTACTAGCGGCTCAGTGCAGGAAGTCCCTCAGCCCAGCTTCTCCCTCTGGCAGTCTGGATCCCTCGGGGGATGTCCGGCTAACGGCTTAGGTCTGCTCATCCTTAGTGCTGCTGCGGAAGTGGGAGAGGCTCCAGCTACTACCGCTGCTCTGGGCAGCCATGAGCCAGCTTCTGGCCGAGCAGTGCTCCCCCTGTGGAAGCGCACTGACCATCAGGGGCAGCTCCTGTGTTGAGTGTCTGCCCCCTGGTGGTCAGTGTGCATCATAGCGAGACCGTTTGTTCCATTGTTAGGGTCAATTTGCATATCACCCTTTTCTTTTATAGGATAGTGGTTGTATACTATTTTATCTGATTGATATACCCTAATTTATTAAGCTATTCCCCTAATGTTTTATTTTTCTTTCATTCAATAATAAAGGTAAGGATTGTGGTAAGCATTGGAGGTTAAAATCCTTTATAATAAACTCAGGACCAAATTCATGCTTCTAGGAAGTTCACAGTTAAGCAGGGTTTGGCCAGTGAACAATGGTTATCAAACAAGGCGATGAATCACATTGTTCATGGTTTTCTTACACATATAAAGGAGCTCTTTATATGGTCTATCAAGGCAGTTTTCTTTTAGTATTATTTGGTTCAAATATATTTTTTTCTATTTTGCTATTTTTGTCTTTGTTACAGCAGTTAATTTTTTAAATATTCACATCTTTCAGCTCTTTCTTCATTTTTTTTGTTTCAAAATTGGATAATTCTCATTTATCCACAGATCTGATAAGTTATGCTCTGTATTCACTGTTGTTGTTTTTCTCTACTAATTGATCTTTTAGAGTTGACATTTATTTTTGGAATGTTTTCAGTGTATGAGGGGCATAGCTAATGTAATTACTTCTCAGTTAACCTAACAAAATTGATCAAGGAAATCCCCGGGGCTTACTGTTTACTTAGGGAACTTGAGAGTTGGTGGTGGCTCTGGACTTCTTCCCTTCTGTTTCATTGTGTCACACTGCCCAGGCCTTGTTGCTTCGGATAGTGGTCAAGTGTATGTTGTATTTGTGTGCTGAAGGCCCCGAATCATGAACTTCAAAGTAAAACAAACTTGGTTTGAAATCCGAGGTTTACCATACGTTCCAGTTTTTTCAAAAACCCAGTTTCATCATTTACTTACATAATTTTTATCTTAGTAAATCTTTTGACCCTCAGTTTCTTCATCTATAAAATTGGGAACACTATTCCTTGCTAAGGGGTAATTTAAGAACTCCGTGAGAACAGTCTTTGTAGAGCCAGTCACAGTAGGTGAGTGGAGCTGGCAGAGGTCCTCAGTAAATCACCTTTTCCGCTTCTGTCTTGACCTAGAACTGCACTGTCCAAAACTGTATGTCACTAACTATATGTTTAAATTAAGTTAGGACTAAATTTAGATTAATTAAAACTAAACATATTTAAAACTCCATTTCTCCCTCACCAGAGTCACCTTTCAGGTGTTCATAGGCAGCAGTGATCATGTCTGTCGCGTTGGACAGAGCGCATAGGGAGCATTGCCGTCATCTCAGCCGGTTCTGCTTTAGACATGGGTCTTAAGCCCTGACTTCTTACTTTTAGCATTACCTGTCTGCTTACCTGTAGTGGCGGCGATTTGGATAACGGAGCAGTTTGTAATATTATTTGTACTCTGCTCACCTTTGTGACGAAGAGGTGTAACAAAGTGGTCTAAGGCTGTGGTCACCGTGGCGTTGAGTGGCTGCCGTCCTGGGATGCTGACATGGCACAGTAATACCTGTTTATCTCATGCAGAGGTCGGAAAATAAAGCACAGTTACGAGGCTATCTGTGGCAGGTGGTTAGAAGGGCTTAGATCCGCCGAAATGATAAAACCAAGGCATTTAATTATGGCTGACTAAATTTAATTTGTATAATTTGTAGAGATGTCATAAAAATGAGCCTTTTCCGTTCTCTTTTTTTGCCCTTAGGAAAGAGAATACTGTGCCCGGCCCAGGTTGGATATCATCCAGCCGCTCCCCGAGGCCTGTGAAGAGATCTTTTCCGAT